TTCTTTTCTATTTCTCACTGGTATACATATTACAGGCAAAGGCACACAGTAGGTACTAAATAAATGTAATTTAATTTGCCATTTTTTATGTCTTAAAAGAAACAGCTGATCCAGGAAATTCTGTTAAGATATCCCTAAGCCCAAAAGGATAAAATTAGGAGGTGATAAGAAAACTTGCTGAAAAGGTATAAAGGTACTTCAAAATGAAAGGAAAAGAGAGCAGAGGAGAGGGGACAAGGAAACCTCTTAAAATCAGGGAGGTGGATACCGCCCTATCCAGGAAGGAAAAGGAAGTAAGAAAAACATGGAGTGCGGAGCCCCTTGCTGACTCTTAACAGTCTTGCAGGGCAGGCTCTGCGACCCGCATTCCACAGAGGAGAAGCAAGCTCACATAGGCAGAGGCCAAGGCGCTGCAGAAGTCACAGCCCCAGGCCCACGGGGTGCCAGCCTGCCCAGCTGTCTCCACTACCAGCTCTAGACCATCAGCCTGAGGAACCAAGGAATTCCATGGAACAGCCCTTTTGGAAGCACATGAAGCTCTGAGGACTTCAGCCATAAGACTTTAGCTGTAGTATCCAATGTGGTCCTGTTGATGGCATTCATGAAATATGCCTGACAGGGGTTGTTTCTCTTCAGATTTTTGAAACTTCATCATCCAGTTTTGAGGTAGGCAGTGGGACTTGACTCTGAAGGCAGGGCTTGGACTCCAGACCAGATTAAACACTGGCTGAGACAGGGAAGAGACTAAACACCTCTCCACAAGACACGCCCACCGCTGCCATGTCAGTTTACCATTGCCATGGCAACACCTGGAAGTTATCATCCCTTTCCAGGGCAATAACCTGGAAGTTGCCACCCTTTTTCTAGACATTTCTGCATAATCCTCCCCTTAATTTGCATATAATTAAAAGTGGATCTAAATCTGACTGCTGAACTGCCCCTGAGCTGCTACTCCAGGCACACTGCCTATGGGTAGCCGTGCTCTACGAGGAGCAGTCCCTCTGCTGCTGCTGTGTACTACCGCTTCAATAAAAGTTGCTATCTAACACCTCCAGCTCACACATGAATTCTTTCCTGGGTGACACCAAGAACCCTCCTGGGCTAAGCCCCAACTTGGAGCCTTGCCTGCCCTGCGTCTGCCTTAGGTTTTCACTCCAAATGGATTGTGGCTAAGACACCAAGTGTATCATTATGTTCTACTGCAAATCTGAGGCTACGCAAAGAAACAGTGAATATGTGTACATGTGCGTGTACACATGTGCGTGCACGTGTATGTGTGATTTATTCTGAGGTATTGGCTCACACATTATGGAACCTGAGAAACTCCATAATCTGCCATCAACAAGCTGGAGACCCAGAGAAGCCAGTGGTATAAATCAGACTGATTCCCAAGGCTAATGATATACATCCCAGACCAAGGGGATAATGATATACAAAGAGCTAATGATATACATCGCAGACCAAGGGGATAATGAACCCAAAGAGCTAATGATATACATCCCAGACCAAGGGTTGGAGAAAATGAGTTGAGATGCCCCAGCTAAAATGGTGAGGTAGGAAGAGGCAAGTTCCTCCTTCCTCTGCCTTGTGTTCTGTTCAGGCCCTCAGTGGATTGAATGACACCACCCACACTGGGAAGGGAGGTCTCCCTGAGAGAATCACTGATTCAAATACCAACCTCATCCTGAAACATCCCACAGACACATCCAGGAGTGTCCCGTGACCCACACAACCATGTAAAACTAACCACCGTGACAACAAAGAACCAAACTTGCATGAATGGAGTAGACCAAGCACATGGCCAGGCAGCACTGGTGGAATCCCTGTGCCCGCTTTTGACATTGCTGAGTTTCTTACTGGCCTGCTCCAAGCTGCACACTTGATTACAGAGCATGACCAAAACAAACACAACAAAATACATTTATTCATCCCCTAAGTCACCTCCAGCCACTAAGTCACATAACACAGGTAACCTAGGACAGGTGCTCCCCACCATTGAGGGCCCTGCTCTCCCACCCGACTTACTGGATTTTTGTGATTCAGAAAAGCAAAAGTGAAGTATTTTATTTTTCTGTTTACTTTGCATTTATTTGCCATGGAATAAAGGCAACACATACATATTGATGACAGTTTGGAAAAATTAAAAATTATTTTCAAAACACATGGAAAAAAGTCATTCCTAATCTGACCATCAGTAAACAAGCCCAGTTAACATCTTGGCATTCCCGCCCTTTTTGAGGGTGTGTGGGCTTGATGAGGGGTATGAGGAGGGTTGCATTTTTTTTTTCATAATCAAGCTCAACTTCTCTAAATCAATTTTGATTTTTTATTTAAACTCCATTCACAAGCATTTCTAAACCATTAAATATAAAATAGCACCCATCCATTTAGTCTGTTACAACTTTGTGTTGGGCACTTACTAGTTGTCAGGCACCGGCTGGGGACACAGAGGTAAACAAGAGAGAGAAGTCCCACCCGTACATCTAGAGGTGAAGGTGGGCATTAAACACTCACCATAAACCACGAGAGGGCTGAGTCGGGGAGCCAAAAACACACAGAGGGCAAATGTCCTGCGTGCGCAGCTGCTGGTCACCCTCTGTCAGGTCAGCCTTTCAAATGCACCGTGCCCACTCTGCATGTGACATGCTGCCTTGGTTTTAGAGCAAATAGAGATTTAAGTGTATTTAGTTATGAGAACTTGCAAGGTAGTTTTAAAACACCCTCTTGTGGTAACAGAAGGGGATCTGAGATGTCTCCAGAGTTTTGGTCAACAGATCAAGCCACTGAAAAACCACCACGAGCCCCACAAAAATGCCTCCTGCTGCATCACCACTCTCCTTCAGCTCAAAGGCTGTGGCCAGAGGAGGGGTCTTGGGGTGCGGGTCCTCCCTGGGAGGGACAGCCTATATGAGGCTGCAGCAGGGCCTTCAGGTCATGTCCACCTCCGGCACAGAAGGCCATTGAGGTGACCGTCAGGAAGTGCTCTGTGACTTGACGGACATTGATATTTGTGAACACGGAGCACCCAGAAAATATGCTCTGGCTTGAGTGCAGCCTCAATTCTGACATTTCATCCTCAGCAACACAGCTTCAGAGAGGCGGGCCTGCCTGTGTGGCATTAATAATAGTATATGATAAAGCAGACACTGTGCCCTGGGCTGACATTGCAGGCCAGGCCCTGTGCTGAGAACTAAACATTTTTCGAAGAGATCTAATTTGACAGGAGCAAAGGTGGCTAGCAGACCTATGGGGGCAGCTTCTCTAATCCACCTTTTCACACCCCAAAAGGTAAACACCTATGTATTAGCACAACTTAACTCAACAGCTAACTGGGACAGCATGCCCAGAGTACCTCTATTTTTTAAAAATTGTGCGTGTCAATCATTTTAAGTAAAGCTGACATTTTTAAATTAATTTTTTAAATTTGTTTTTCATTTCAATTGCTCTAAACCAGGCATGGGCCTGGGCATGGAATGAGCGTTTCACATTTATAGATGAGTCTGAACTCGACACAGTGATCTATAAATAAACTCTTTAAACTGGAGGTCCCAGCCACCTGCACAATGCAGCTGTGGCCTTATGCACAGATACTAACCCCAGCCCCCAGCTCCCAGCCCCCACCTCTTGGCAGCTAACAGCCAACATCGTCTTCTTGGGGAAGAGACTTAGGACGCATTGGAAGATCTCCACAAGGCAGGGCACGGGGAGAAACTTGGCTAAAGAGAGAAGCAGTGGTGATACTGGTGATGACGAGGGCAGGCAGGTTACCCCTCTCCTCCACAGTGTGACTCTCAGGCCTGCTATGGACGGAGGGAAGGGGCCACCTGCCTGCCAGTCAGAGTGGCTCGCCTTGCTGACCTTCAGTGCTGGCCCTTGTGTCAGCTGTAGGATAAGAATTACTCTACCTGAGCTTGAAGATACCATTCTCTTCTCCACGGACTCATTTGTGAAGCAGAGTTTAACATGTGGCAGCTATTCCTTCCTCTTTTTTTAATTCATGGAATAACCGTCATGTTTCAAAATGTTCCAAGACCTAGACATGCCATGGAGAAGTGAAGGGTGGGGGCCCAAGAGTGTCTCTTATTCCAATAAGAATACAGAGCTGAGATATTTGAGCGTAAGTAAATTACAACTTGAGGACAGCCCCGAATAACAAGAGTGAGATGATCAGTGAAAGACACCCAAGAGGAAGGAAACCAAAGTCAATACGAGAAGAGCTGGCCCTGGCCTGACCTCCCCATGGTAACGGTCAAATGCTCCCTGGGCCGGTGACATCAAACCTTCACCATCCCCTCGCCAACCTGTCCCTCACACGATTGCAACGCAGGCTGGAGGGAGGGGTGACAGGGCAAGAAAGGAGAGACCCAGCTGCCTCCACTCTCAGTTCAGGGCCACTAGAAGGCTTCTGCCCTGGCAGGCAAGTCCCCGCCCCCACCAAAAAAAAAAATGGCAGTGAGCCTCAGTTTACCCAGGAAGCTCTTTGGCATCAGGCCCTCCCCACCTCCTCTGACCAACTGGCACCTCCGCCTGGAGGAATCGGCATGGTCCTAGGTGAGGAGGCACAGGAATCAGACTTGGTACCTGGATGGCGACCCTCTTCTCTCTTGGGGACCTGTCCTTTGTGGGAGGCCTTTGCGGAGTGGGATAGCCCCAACTTCCCAGAAGGGAAAAAAACTTTTGTAAAAGTGAGAAACATAAAAACAACTCAGACACACATGAAAGGAAGCTGTAAATTATGAAAAATCTGGTGGCTCTATTTCATTCTGCAACAGTTTAAAAACTGCAAGATAAAAAAGATCAAGATAAAAATAGAAACCTACTGTTACCATGTCTAAGCAAATTATGCCATTCCACCCCCAGCCCTGCAAACATTCTAGGTATGCTCTGCTGGAGGTCACAAACCCAAACGCGGGCAGGGGCTGGTGGTTCAAGGGACAAATACAGAGGCCCGGCAGTCCCAGAGACCCCTGCCCCATGTGCCAGGGGCAGCCACCACTCACCTCTCGTCCACTTGCAAATTTCCAAGAGAGGCAGGAGATCCAGATTTTAAATCTCCTGCTTTGAAATATTAACAACTAACTTTTTCCAGCATTTAAACACTGCTGGCCAAATAGAACACATCTAGAGGCAGATTTGTCCAGCAGCCCCTCTCTTTCCCCGTTTGCACCCTGTATTCTAAACCTCTGTGCTATTTCTAGTTGAGGTCAGATAATTTTGTTTTTCTAAGAGTCAGGCTTGGCTCTGGTACACGTCTGGCAGAGCCATACGTTGGCATCACTTTTTGGGGGAGGACAGTTTGGCAGTATTTATCAAAATCTGAAATATCTTTCTATCCGGCCATCTCACTCCTGGAAATCTATGCTAAAGACACACTTCCTCAAGGGTACAAAGATATAGACACGCGGAATGGTCCACAGGTTTGTTTTTTGAAATAAAAACTTGGAAAAAAAACAATTTAAATGCCCTTCAATAAAAGGATGTTTAAATAAATCCTATCCCTGGGCCATCAAATGCTACCCAGCCATTAAATGAAATGACTTGCGCCAGGCACGGTGGCTCACGCCTGTAATCTCAACACTTTGGGAGGCCGAGGGTGGGCAGGAGTTCAAGACCAGCCTGGCCAACATGGTGAAACCCCGTCTCTATTAAAAATACAAAAAATTAGCCAGGCATGGTGGTGCATGTCTGTAGGCCCAGCTACTCAGGAGGCTAAGGGAGGAGAATCACTTGATCCTGGGAGGTGAAGGTTGCAGTGAGCCAAGATCTTGCCACTGCGCTCCAGCCTGAGTGACAGAGTGAGACTCCATGTCAAAAAAAAAAAAAAAAGGCTCAGATCTGAGCATATTGACATGAAAAGATGTCCATGGAATGTTTTTGTTAAACTAGCCACAGAAGAATATGCCTATGGGGGCCCCGGTTGTGTTAAATGGAATGCTCGAATATTTGCATGTTTGTGTACAAATGTAAAAAAATCTGGAAGGACAGTCAACAAATTATGAACCATGCTTATGGAAAGAGTAGGTTATAGGGTGATTTTTACTTTACAAGTTAAGTGATTGACTCATTATTTTTGTAACTAGTGTATTTTATTTGAAAGTGAAACTTAAAACTTCTCCACTGTGCTCTTCCAGGGATGGTGTCTGGAAGCATTGGGCATACGCTTTCCTACAGCCTCTAACAAAACTAGACTTCCCCGAACTCCTGATAATAGAACTGCTTACCTTTATACCAAGAAGGCTGGGAAGACACTCATATCTGCATGTGACCTGTGCCCAGGCAAATGGATTCATGCTGTGAAACCAAAGTTCTTAGGAGATGGTCTAGAATGAAAAAAAAAAAAAAAAAAAATGTCAGCAAGGCCTATTGTGGTACTGTGAGTGCTGGATGTGTCTGTGACCGTACCAAGTGTGCTTTCCTTATTGAGGAGCCGAAAATTGTTGGGAACATTCTGAAGGCCCAAATACAGAACCAGAGAGCTAAATTTAAAATAAATAATGAATAAATAAATAAAACTTTTTTGAGTAATAAAAAAAAAAAATCCAAAGGCAAAAACACACACACACACACACAAAAAATCCATTGTCTGAAAAACAAGAGATAAACTGAAACCAGTTTAAATGCAAGCCTAAACTATAAATTATATAAATATCAATGTTTGGACTCAGTGCTGTGGGCTCAGATATTTACCATCAGCAGTGAGGTATTTCTATTTCCTCCCAAAAAAGGTCATGCATAGTAACTACATACCTGGACTAAACCCCTAGAGATTGTCTTGCACATGGTCCCTGAGGCAGGGCGTGCCCTGCAGCTCCACATGGACAGCAGAACGGTGGAGACAACTGAATATCCACTGACAGCAGTGCAATAGGCTGAACGCGTGTGTCCCCCAAGAATTCATGTGTTGAAACCCAATCCCCAATGTGATGGTATTTAGGAGGTGGGGCCTTTTGGAGGGGATCAGGTCGTGAGACTAAGATTCTCATACAAGGGATTAGTGCCTTTATAAAACAGGCCCCAGAGAGCTCGCTCACTCCTTCCACCACGTGAGCACACAGCAAGAAGGCGTCAACTGTGAACCAGGAAGCAGGCCCTCACCAGTCACCAAATCTGCCAGCACCTTGATCTTGGACTTCCCAACCTCCAGAACTGTGAAGAATAAATTTCTGTTGTTTAAAAGCCACCACAGATGGCATTCTGTTACAGAAACCCAAACGGATTGAGACAGGCAGAATGGAGAAGTAGAATACGCCTTGGTCAGCAGTTAAAGGGAACAAGCTAGTTCAAACTCCAGGAAGATACAGATGACAGTGATGAGCTAAAATACACAAATAAGAAAAACTTCTGCACCTGCAAAGAAGTCCTGTCCCACAAGTTGAACCAGCTTCTAGTCCAGGCTGTAGATAAATATCCATTTCTTGGAGTTAAAGAAATGCAGGATCAGGGCTCTACAACACTCCAAGAGCAAAAGGAGACCCCTGAATGGGGGCTGTTTTCCAGGCAGGTGATTGGTTCCTTTGCTTTCATGGAATAAAAATAAAATAGGGGAGGGAAGGATGCTCCACACACAGCATTTGGACTCCAATTCACACAGACCAACCAAAAAAGATATTTTTAAGACAGGGAAATCTGACTACAGATGGTAAGAAATTCTCACTGTTTTTGTTACATTTGATAGTAGCTTTGTGGCTATGTAAAAAAAAAAAAGTAAACATTGTAGCATTGCACACAGCTGTTAGGATGAAATGACAAGATGACTAGGATCTGTGATAAAACACTTCAGCAAAGAGGATAGGAAGAAAGTAAGCAAATGTGATAACATCCTAAGAACCACAGATGCTGAGTGGTAGGCATAAACTACTCTGCTTTGGCTGTGTGTGTGAACCGTATGGACAAGTGTAAGAAATGGGCTGGAGGAGCACACACCTGTAGTGAGTAGGCTGCCTCTGGGGCAGGAGCCCAGGGAGTGGGGAGAGCCAATGAGACTCCCACCTCTATACAATGCCTTAATATAGCATGAAAACAAAGACCCAAGGCAAGAATGACGAGACAGTACTGATGACCGAATCCCTGCGGTCTGAGCACAGGGACTGGTGTGTTCTCTGTGCTTCCGTGTATTACTTTAGTTTTTCACGATAAAATAACTTCAAAACAGAAGGCACCAGGAAGATGAAACAAAAGCTTATGCAACCCATGGGAAGATAGAGCCCCTGGAGCCGAGGATGTGGGACCCGGTTGGCTCATGGAGCTGCTTGCCAGGAAGGCCCAGAAACTCAGCATTTGGTCACACAGGTGACTGCGGCTTTGGCCACACTAACTGCTGGAGTACCACGGCCTTGGGAGCACTCTGGGGACACCAAACCACATACGAATATATATGGCCACGTTTGACAAATGGAGAGAAACTTGGACTGCTGGTCAACCTCCACAGACCTGAACAACGGGTTTCGTAGTCAAGTGTCTAAAGCTGGGCTGGTATGGGGACTTTCTTCTTTAGGAATAGGCTCATTTCCTTCAATATCATTGATTATTGATTGTTATTTAAAAGCTCCATATAGCCGGGCGCAGTGGCTCAAGCCTGTAATCCCAGCACTTTGGGAGGCCGAGGCGGGCAGATCACGAGGTCAGGAGATCGAGACCATCCTGGCTAACACGATGAAACCCCGTCTCTACTAAAAAATACAAAAAACTAGCCGGGCGAGGTGGCGAGCGCCTGTAGTCCCAGCTACTCGGGAGGCTGAGGCAGGAGAATGGCGTGAACCCGGGAGGCGGAGCTTGCAGTGAGCTGAGATTCGGCCACTGCAGTCCAGCCTGGGAGACAGAGCAAGACTCCGTCTCAAAAAAAATAAAATAAAATAAAAGCTCCATACATTTAGCCATTCAATAACTATTTAGCAAGTGCCTGCTCCTTACCAGGTATTCAGCTCCCATACAAGAGTGGCGGATACCAAGCTACACAGCTGGGTATCATCCTAGCCAGCCAAAGCCTGCAATAGGAGCCCTACCTGGGTGCCCACCCATCCCCACCCCTCCCCCTGTTATCTGCAAATGGGGTGATCAGAGCACCTGCGAAGGGAGAGCCAGCTAATTATCTTCAAGCCCTTAGACCAGTGCTTGCCTCACAGTAGCCCCCAACTACTACTATGGGCCTGTCCCCACCGACCCTGTCCTTGTCCTTGTCCTTGTCCTTGTCCTGTCCTTGGGAGCTACCCCGAATGCCCCTTTTTAACAAGGTCTGCCTTCCCTGGGGGTTTGGAGTCGTTTCGACGTAGCAGCCTCAGCCCCAAGCTCACCTCTAAGGGAAAGTCCAGGGCTCACTTCCATCTGAGTTTCAACAACAAAAACATCCTAAGAGAGATCACAGATGTATTCTGGAAAATTTCAAAGAAAGACGACCACGGAGAATCATTGACTTAAAGTGATAGAGGGAGACGGTAGAAAATGACAAGCAAATTAAGGAAACCCAAAATAAAACCAGCAAGAATGTATATCCTGAGTAGGATTTTACATATATATATGTACACCTCCTTCTTGGGACTTTGCTGATTTTCATTTTTTTTCAAATGTGAGCTTATATTACCTTTATCTTTAGAAAATATAGGTTTAAAAAGTCTATCCATTCAAAGTGAATTGTGGTGATCAGATTTCACCTGTTTTTCATTCACAACAGTTTGACACAGAATAGGGACTGGAACTGTCATTAACCGCATAGAACCAGGTGCCTCCAAAACTGCACTTGGGGGATATCATTATGTGCAGCAAATTAAACCAGGCCAGTTCAAGGTTACAGAAAGCGTTCCACAGACCGGGGCACCCGGTGACAGAACCTGAACCACGCGGGAAGAAGTGTTTTCAGCTGTGCATAGCAATCACAGCTAGAAGAGTCACATTCTGATTGCTTTAAAAAGACGCACCTTTTCCTGTTTTAAATCAGCAGATGCAAATGTAAAACACCAGCCTGTCCACGCCGCAGCTTGGTAACAGTCAGGATGGGCCTCAAGAAAAGTCCTGATTGTAGTTCTGTGCTGAAATGGAGACAAACAGAAGATTCTCCTGGGTGGGGGCTTAACAGCCAGAACTGCCCTGCCTCCCCCACCTCCTCCCTGAATCTAGTCCTTTGCTTCTCTTCTCCTAAGCAGTCACGGCTCATTTTCAAGTGCCCCGAGGAAGCCTGTGTTTTCCTTTGATCTAATGATGCTGAGTCAGGGGAGTAAGCAGATGAGGAATAGAAGGAGAAAGCACCATCAGGGGTGGAAGGACCAGGGCAAGGTTGCCTTGGGAAATAGAGTGATTTTCTAGGTATTTGATAAACCAGAAACAATGTGATCCATGTGCA